ATAAAGTATCCTGAAAAAATTGCCATGGTTTCAACAAAAATATGAAGCAGCACAACTGTTTTCAACATTAATAATAGTAAGAAATCTGTTTTGATCATGTGACACTGAAGACTGGAGTAATGGCTAAAAATCACGGATGAAAATTCCGCTTCGCCAGAACAGGAATAAATTACATTTTACAATATATTCAAATATAAAACAATTATTTTACATCGTAATAAATACAGCCTTAGTCAGCACACAGACATTAAAAATAACATTAAATCATTAAAAAATATTAATTACTCCAAACTTTTAACTGCTAGTGTATAACTACATTATAAGACATTGCATAAATATATTATATATATATATATACAATTTAAAACTTATATATAAAACTTAATAGTTATTTTATACAACCTATACTCCAAATAATAATAATTGATGTGAAGTAATGATTTTGAGTAAAGACTAATAATGTAAACTTGATTTGTCTACTGCATCCACTTAAGGCCCATTGTTTATTCAGCTTAATTTGTTTAGTTTCATTTCAAAATTTAAATGGTTTAAGGCTTCCACACAAATAACTAATTATGGTTAAGAGTGTAAAGTCTCCTTACATATTTAAAACTGTATGACCAGAATAAAAGCTACAATGTCTCCTATCAGATTATCTGATTATCTTTTCAGATTATCTTTTAATAGGAGCACATTTGTATTCTGAGGTAATATTGTTTCCAGCACAATCAAAAGGGATTAATTAAGCAGATGATAGTGGTTGTGACCTTTGCAGCTCTCTGTGATGATGCCCTAATGAGACTGAGGGTCACACTGTTGTCTGCTTTAGGTCAGGAGGGACCACAGGACTGACACAAGAAATGAGATCCAAAGACGCAGTGTCTCACTCCCGTCTCAATGACTCTCTCCCATCTGTTCACTGTTTGTCTGAGTTCGTCTGACAGGGTGTTCGATGTGAGTAATGAGCCCATGCCACTACCAGACACCAGGAACTCCATCAGCCTGCAACTACTGAGAGCAGTTCATCTGAGAGCCACATATCCTTATATATCTCTCTTTCATCAAATCAATAAGTCTGTAATCATTCGGAGTAAAATACGATTTATATGGCTTTTTGTCTGCACATACACTGTTACAAAACATCTCTGCAAACTATATCCAATATCTATTTAAAGCACCAGAGCAAGGTCTCCACAGTAAGAGGAGTGTGTTTCCTACGAAGCAGAAAATAGCGATGGGAAATGAGGCATAGGCCTCATTTACATTAATGTAAATAATACACCAATGTATTATTGTTGTTGTTGTTGTTGTTGTTGTTATTATTATTATTATTATTATTATTATTATTATTATTATTATTATTATTATTATTATTATTATTATTATTATTATTATTATTATTATTATTATTATTATTATTATTATTATTATTACAAGTGGAACTTCACAAAACAAACTTGTAGCAGCCATTCTTATTGTGATCATCTGTAGTAAGCATTATCTGTAAGTTTTTATGGTTAATTTATATTCAATTTGCTGAATTTATTGTTCATAAAGCTGTGAAAGACATATTGGTAAAAAAAAAAAAAAATGTATAGCCTGAATGCACTGTAAGTCGCTTTGGATAAAAGCGTCTGCTAAATGCATAAATGTAAATGTAAATGTAAATTACTACTACTACTACTATTATAGCACATTTCAATACAATATTGGGGAGTTTAACAATCTTGGATAAATTTGATAGGCCTATATACTGTATATATACACACACACATACATATGTGTGTGTGTATACTTTAAATATTAAAGTAAGTACAAATATTGTGAATGTTAAAATCACTTCATTAATGTGATTTTAATTATTGAATTACCTAATTAAATATATGTAAATACATACATACACATTTTTAATTAGATAATTAGATAATTAAATATGTACAAAAATACATAAAATTACAATCTAATTAAAAGTACATAGTAACATTTCTTTATATCACTGATAATTTACTGTCATATATTTTAAAGTGTGCATAGACTAATTAAATTTGTATTATAAAAATATAATTTTTTTAAATAATACGAATAACACTACATTTGTATAATACATAACTTTTCATTCATAATATTTATATAATATGAGTTTCTAGTCACACATATTTTATATATTTATATATTCTCTATGTGCAAATACATAGAAGGGGGATCATCATATTTGAAGGTCCTTGGCATTAAAAATTTTAAAAACCTTGTCTATTGCACATCATGGAAAATGTAGTAATATATATACTGTATAATGTGCACAGTGTACATAATTTACTATATACTTCAGAAAAAAGTACTAGTAGTGTAGTAGTATAGTATTCTGTACATGGCCATAGACATTTTCTTTTGCAGTTATTGGGTTATTGGGCTGCTAAGGGGGTAAAGAAGCTTTCTAGCAGGCACTCAAGTGAGCTTCTTTAACAATGACAAGTGCAACTGGAAACTTTCAGGGAGCTCTACAACATGCTCTCTCGGTCAAAGAAGTCAAACTAAACTTAATTAAGTGGGAGATTTAATGAGCAATCACTAATAGTCAGAGAAAAGAATCATGGAATGATGGAGAACCAAAAAAGATTGTTGAAATATCACTAAAGTATTCCCATCCCAACATCCCAGCTCCACACGCCCTCTCTGCGGCTGCCTCAGAGCACAGAAAATCTCATTATCTCCCAGCATCCTCTGCAGGAGAAAGCCTCAGTGCAGCAGTTCAGCTCACCAGGTCGCTGCTAACAGACACACATAACCAAAGGCACACCGCGTCCCACAAAAAGAACAAAACAAAATCAGCCCCAGACAGCTCTCTGTGTGGAGTGTCAGAAGGCAAACTCTTTACCCTCACATACAAAACAAGAACACGACCGGCACTTGATGAAAAGCTTCTTCAGTACCACTTTCGGGAATAAACGCTGACGCTTGAAAAGGATATTTAAAGGGATAGTTCGCTCAGAAATGAAAAGTCTGTCATCATTTCTTCATCCTCATGTTGTTCCAAACCATTCTGTGGAACACAAAAGTGATGCTATAGATGTTGTAGCATTTCTAAGTCACATACAATGAGAGTGAAAAGTGACCAGGAAAAAAAGGTTCTGAAAGCACCATGAAAGCATCATAAAAGTGGTTCAAACAAACAAACAATTTTTAAGTCATTATTCTCTCAAAACCATTCACGTCCAATGTATGAAAAAGAGCAGCATGAACTTTGCACAAAATATCTCCTTTTGTGTCCCACATAAGACAGAATGTAGGTTTTAAAACAAAAGTTGAGCGATTGATGACAGAGTGTTCATTTTTGGGTGAACTACCCTTTGCAAAAAGTAGTAAACATTAGCATATCTTAAAAAGAATTATGTAAATATTATAGTTAATAGTTAAGTGTTTTTCGGACACTTAATTGCATGTTAACATATAAAGTTAAGTCCAACTTCAGTGGACCAAAAATAAATTATATATATACAAAGGCCTATATATATTACTAAATGCTTCTTTTGGAAAAGGATATCACTTTAAAAGTGTTTTAAAATTAAGTTATACGTCGTAAAAAATTAAGTTATAAGACATAAATTACGTTCTGCTTTTTGCAAACTGAAACACTTCTTATATTCAAGCTTTAATTCTATTCAAGTTTGAAAATGGCAGATTTGCCACATGCAAGCACAGGTTGTTTTGTGTGGGAGGCGCTGGGTTACGTCTTACACCCATGCAGGGACCAACCTGCTAACACCACAGAGCTAAAACTGCTACAAAGCTCTGGTACCTGAGGGGTGGTCTGGCACCGGCACAGAAACAGGGACTTAGGATGTCACGCTCACGTAATCATTGGAGCAGCGAGGATAAATCATAGTGATTCATAGGGATTCTAAACATAACAATCTGTTGAGTTGAATAGTATAATACAATCCAAGGCCATTTGTCCTTGTTTTTCGAAGTATAATTTTAAGACTGTGCTGTTTGCTGTCTGCTTATCAATCTATAAACAGTAGTCTATAATCACTGATTTACAGTATATATTGTGTTACTTTAGTATTATTTATATAACTGCAGTATTTATTAATCATTTTAATTGGCTTTTATTTTATATTTTTAGTTTTCATTTTAATTTTAATTCAAGTTTTAGTAATTTTATGTGCATTTGCCAATTTGATTAGTTCTATTTAGCTTTATTTTTTTCAGTATTACTTGTATGACTTAAATAAAAAAAAAACATAAAAATTGTTGTTTTAAATTAATGTTTTTCATTGAATATTTATATTTTATTCTATTTTAGCTATTTTACCAAAAATTATTGTTTTATAGTTATGTGTAACTATTTAACAGTTATAATAGTTTGACTTAACAATACAGTACAACACTGATAAAGTATAGTACATGTAGAATATATTATAGTAAAATAATCTTAATTTATCAACAACAACAATTTGTGTGCTTACATAGCTGAATCTTTTGCTCAAGATTATTTTCATCACAATTATTATCAGATAACACACAGTCTTTTAGTGCCATTCTACTAATTCACAATACATAGTACAAGATTTGTATAAATAATATATGCTATTTGTGAGCTCTCTCTCTCTCTCTCTCTCTCTCTCTCTCTCACACACAAGCTTTGCACAGGTAGATTTCTATCATAATCAAACATGGCATAATTAAAGTAAATTATTAAACATCCATCTGGATTACAACCCACATTTTAATCAATACAGCATCTCTCGAGATCCCCCGCAGAAGCATGAAAATATGAAATCTTGTTAGTAACAGTGCACATATGAGGAGATAGTCTTTAGATGATGCTGAATGTGCTTCAGCAATCAAAAGGCATTCAGGACACAATATAGACTGCAGATGATGCTTCAAAATCAGTGGTAATATAAGCAACATGTAATTGTGTTTGGGTATGCGTGAGAATATGATTGCTGTAGATTATGAGCAGGAATATCCGTGCATGCGTGTTCGCTCATTACCCAGTAGCTCCATGGCGTCATCCTCATCTTCCATCTCATCTTCAGTGACTGAGGGGGCCGAGTCAGGCATGGAGTCAAACGAGTCCTGAGACAACATGGCTGCCAGAAGTTTCTTGTGATTCTGTTGCTGCTGTTTTAGGCCTTTACCCTTAGTCTCTATTTTCAGGCTGCAGACAGAGAGAGAAAGAGAGAGGAAACTGATTATAGCTTTAACATCTAGAACAGTGGTTCATTTGAAGAAGTCTTAGAAAACCATATGAGGTAGCTTAATTTTAATTTCTAGCTCTGGAAAATGTATGTAAATTAATAAATCATCAATTAATAAAAATGCCATAGCCACAAACACAACATCAAATTGTCAAGGATGCTAGTGAGGAATAAGAAATACTACACCTACAGTCATGTTCATCTTCTATTAAGGCTTCAGGCAGGAAGTGCTGTATACATTCTTCTCCATGTAATATTTATGTATTTGCATAATATTTACACACTCTTCTCTTCTCTGGGGGCAGTCGTGGCCTAATGGATAGAGAGTCGGACTTGTAACCCGAAGGTCATGGGTTCGAGTCTCAGGTCCAGCAGGGATTGTCGGTGGGGGAGTGAATATCCAGTGCTCTCTCCACCTTCAACACCACGACTGAGGTGAGACCCTTGAGCAAGGCACAGTCGCCGTGATTTTGCCAAGTAAGACATGTTCCTGGATCAACATCTTTTGTTGATCCTGGATCAACATTACTGTCCAAAAATACAGACTTAACCCAATCCCCACCCCTAAACCTAACCTTACCCATAATTTATTCCTAAAATCAGAGGGAAATGATAGCTGATTAACAAGGGTGTAGAAGCACCTAATCCTGATTGTAAGCCTAAAACTGACATTTCCTGAAAAGTTCTCTCTCAATTCTGATTGGTTGATTGGAATGATGTTGTAATCAAATTGTCATGTTGTACTTGGTGAAATCACGGTCACCAGCAAGGCACCGAACCCCCAACTGCTCCCCGGGCGCTGCAGTATTGGCTGCCCACTGCTCCGGGTGTGTGTGTGTGTGTGTGTGTGTGTGTGTGTGTGTGTGTGCTCACTACTCACTGCTGTGTGTGTGCACTTGGATAGGTTAAATGCAGAGCGCAGATTCCAAGTATGGGACACCATACTTGGCCACACATCACGTCCTTTCCTTTCCTTCCTTTCTTTCTTTATATATCTGTTTTTATACATCCGAATGTCTCATAGCAGGTCTGTCCATTGAATGGGTCTCAGCTCACTTTCAGCTTGGCATCTTTCCATCATTCACCATCATTCTCAACAATCTCTGAGCTGTAATATCTTTCTATCCTGAACTTTATATGAGAAAAAAAAGAGAAAACGGACTTAAGATCAGATGAAATCAACAGGCTGTTCTGTCAAAAATTTCTCAGTAATCTCAGCAACAGACTTCACAGTCATTATTCTCCAATCTTTCCTCCACAATTAACTTCTTCCTAAGAAGTCTATGCGATATGGTAGTGTACTGTTCACTCATAAAAATAAAGCTTCTTTATTGGCATTTATGGTTCCATGAAGAAACTTTACATCATCCATGGGCACTTTCCATTTCATGAAAAGTTCTTTATAGTAGAAAAAAAGGATCTCTATATTATTAAAATGTCCTGTGCAATAAGAATAAAAAAAACTTATTTTAACAGCCGTTCACTGAAAGGTTCTTTGAGGAACCCAAAATGGTTCTATGGCATCAATTTCCACTTTTGGAAAGATTGTATGTCAGGACAGATGCAATACCGTACAATTTAACTAAACCACACGTGCTATCCTAAATCTATATGAATATAACAAACATGAGAACAAATTTGATAATGTACTTTTATCTATGTCACAAATATTTAAATCATTAAAATAGCCAGGAATACTAGATCAATTATTCAATGTTAAGCAAATTGATGAAGAAATAAATTGAATGAATAATGAACATATGCTGCACTTCGCATGCCTATACTGGCAAAATTATTCCCATGTCTCATTGACAAATAGAGACAAAAAAAATAGTCTTGAGGTTTAATTTGATTGTTATCTTATTGGAATGACATTATTCACAGATAATCGAAAGGTTAAGGCCAAAGCAGAGCTGTTTTAATATCCTGAGTTGAACATTACTATGCTAATGGCTATGCTAATACTGCACATCTCTCTACTATGAATCACTTAGCCCTTTTCACCTTTTTTTTCCCTAATTGGGTGTCACTCAGCCGCTCCGGGTGTGTGTGTGTGTGTGTGTGTGTGTGTGTGTGTGCTCACTACTCACTGCTGTGTGTGTGCACTTGGATAGGTTAAATGCAGAGCGCAGATTCCAAGTATGGGACACCATACTTGGCCACACATCACGTCCTTTCCTTTCCTTCCTTTCTTTCTTTATATATCTGTTTTTATACATCCGAATGTCTCATAGCAGGTCTGTCCATTGAATGGGTCTCAGCTCACTTTCAGCTTGGCATCTTTCCATCATTCACCATCATTCTCAACAATCTCTGAGCTGTAATATCTTTCTATCCTGAACTTTATATGAGAAAAAAAAGAGAAAACGGACTTAAGATCAGATGAAATCAACAGGCTGTTCTGTCAAAAATTTCTCAGTAATCTCAGCAACAGACTTCACAGTCATTATTCTCCAATCTTTCCTCCACAATTAACTTCTTCCTAAGAAGTCTATGCGATATGGTAGTGTACTGTTCACTCATAAAAATAAAGCTTCTTTATTGGCATTTATGGTTCCATGAAGAAACTTTACATCATCCATGGGCACTTTCCATTTCATGAAAAGTTCTTTATAGTAGAAAAAAAGGATCTCTATATTATTAAAATGTCCTGTGCAATAAGAATTAAAAAAACTTATTTTAACAGCCGTTCACTGAAAGGTTCTTTGAGGAACCCAAAATGGTTCTATGGCATCAATTTCCACTTTTGGAAAGATTGTATGTCAGGACAGATGCAATACCGTACAATTTAACTAAACCACACGTGCTATCCTAAATCTATATGAATATAACAAACATGAGAACAAATTTGATAATGTACTTTTATCTATGTCACAAATATTTAAATCATTAAAATAGCCAGGAATACTAGATCAATTATTCAATGTTAAGCAAATTGATGAAGAAATAAATTGAATGAATAATGAACATATGCTGCACTTCGCATGCCTATACTGGCAAAATTATTCCCATGTCTCATTGACAAATAGAGACAAAAAAAATAGTCTTGAGGTTTAATTTGATTGTTATCTTATTGGAATGACATTATTCACAGATAATCGAAAGGTTAAGGCCAAAGCAGAGCTGTTTTAATATCCTGAGTTGAACATTACTATGCTAATGGCTATGCTAATACTGCACATCTCTCTACTATGAATCACTTAGCCCTTTTCACCTTTTTTTTCCCTAATTGGGTGTCACTCAGCCAATTCCCAACTCTCCAGTAGTGTACTTCAGCGTCAGCAATGCTGAGACATATGTCCCCGTGCTCATAAACATTCATATGAGCACATATTTCACTGTATGAAACATAAGAAACAAAGAGTATTCAGAACAGATACTGGTCACATTTTCACTGTATTCTGCATTGCATGGAAATATTTTGTAGGCCTTTTGCTGTTTTTCACAGTAGAGAAGGGGAATGACCAGGATCAAGACAATGCTGTACAAGTCAGATTTGAACCTGAAATTCCCACATGAGCACTATAGCTCAATGAATAATAGGCAACAGCTAAACAAAAACAGCCACGTACCATGGTACATATTTGGTGTACTGTGTAAATACCATGGCATATGAATAGAGTAAACTGGTAATTAATTCAGTACCATGGTTCTGTTCTGAACATGTTTCCATTATGTATTTTTCTAATTTAATGCCACTATTTTCCAATACAAAGTATTATTAGTGACCTAGAAATAAAGCAGAATCTTTCATATTTCTTTTTCATTTAATATCATAAAGTTCCCATGTTTTCACTTTTGAACAAACCCTAAACCTACAGAGGTGATGGAACAAAAAAAAAAGATACAAGTAGAAATATTTCAATGCTTTTGCGTTCTCTCGTAAAATGGTTGCATTCCCCGAGTGACATTTGCACTCTCTCACAAAACATCTACTGTACATTTCCCCAAGAAACTTTACATTTGAACATACATACAAAAATGCCAAGTTCTGTCATGAAACTCAAGATGGCGCAGGCTGATGGGTCCTTAACTTAAACTCATGATATTCACAGCATTAAACGACTTGGCACAAGCTGATTGGATCATGTTGCATTCGCAGCCAATGAGCTTAATGTTTTACATTTAAATGACCGATTAGCATTCACTAGAGCATTTCAAAGATCTCGGAAACCCTCCACCTTCCCCAGCTCCACCTGTATAGATCTGCTACGGGTTATTATATATGCTATTTGTGCAGCAACAGTATGTCTTAAATACTCACAGCACCGTATCAGTGTATGTATTGGTAGTAGCAAGTTCCTGTACTTGCAGCAGCAATAATCTACAACTACAGCAATAACCAACAGCAGCAGCAGCAGCATAGCAGATCTATTCCATTTCCAAGACCAAATACATTAACATTGAAATCTTCCGAGATTTGTCATGATATAAATATTTGCATTCTGTCGCAAAGCATTTGTACTCTGCTGAGAAACTTTACATTTACTCACAAAACTTTTGCATTCTCTTGCAAAATGTTTGTGCTCTCTCAGAAAGTTTTTTCTGTATACATTCCCCCAAGAAACTTTATATTCACTCATAAAAATGCTAAAGAATTTGCGTTCCGCCAAGAAATTTACATTTGCTCTGAAAACTTTTGTGACTGAAATAACATTAGGTGGGAGGCAAAACTATATTTCAATGTTTTTGAGAACGGATGAAAAAGTTTCTCTGTAAACGCAATACTTTTGCGAGAGAATGCAAAAGAATTGAAATATAGAATAGAATTTTTCCTATAATCTTGTTCATGTCCCTTAAAAACACCTTTTTAATTTCAGGTTCAAATTAGATTATTAATCATTAATTTTAATGATAATTAATAATCATTAATTATTATTTTTCAATGCAATCTCAGTCTTTTGGAACCCTACTGTAATATATTCGAATAAAGCTAACAGACTATCACAGTAAGAGTAGG